ACAGGACACCAGTCTATCACAGGACACACACAGACACACACTCACACACCCTGGACAGGACACCAGTCCATCACAGGACACACACAGACACACACACCCTGGACAGGACACCAGTCCATCACAGGGCACACACAGACACACACACACTCACACCAGGGCCAAGTTTCCCAGAAGACAATTAGCCCACCAGCATGTCTCTGGGCTGTGGGAGGAAACTGGAGCACCCAGAGGAAACGCATGGGAACATCGGGAGAACATACAGACTCCACACAGACAGTTCCAGACTTGAACCCAGGGCGCCACTGTGCCGCCCTGCATGTGTTCTGTAGTATGATGTTGTGTTATAATATGCTGTGTCATGTTGTGTAAAGTTGTGTTATACGGTGCTGTTGCCCGTACACTGCCTCTCTCTCTCTTCCAGGGACGTCCAGTGAAGGCCGGAGCCAGCTGGACCTCTGCCAGTCCTGCGGCTGGACGTCCCGGCACTGCTGGCTCCAGTGGCACCGCTGCTGGGCACACCTGCAGCAGGATGAGGACAGGAGCACTGCTGTGCCAAAACTCCGGCCCCAGAAACGCCAGGAGGAGCCCCAGCTGTCTGTTTCCCGGGCCGTATCCCAGCCGTTATCCCATTCTCTCTGCCAGCTTGTCTCCCAGTCTTTATCCCAACCTTCATCCCCCTCTTTATCCCAGCTGTTATGCCAGTCTCTTCCCCAGCCTATATCCCGGTCTATATCCCAGTCTCCCTCCCAGCCTGTCTCCCAGCTTGCATACCAACCTGTCTCCCAGTCACTCTCCCAGTCTTTATCCCAGCCTGTATCCCTGACTGTTTCCCAGCCTGAATCACAGTCTCTCTCCCAGCCTGTCTCCCAGCCTGTCTCCCAGCCTGTCTCCCGGTCTGTCTCCCCACCTGTCCCCCAGCCTGTCTCCCCGCCTGTCTCCCCCCCTGTCCCCCAGTCTGTCTCCCCGCCTGTCTCCCCGCCTGTCTCCCTGCCTGTCCCCCAGTCTGTTTCCCCGCCTGTCTCCCCACCTGTCTCCCCGCCTGTCTCCCCGCCTGTCCCTCAGCCTGTCCCCCAGCCTGTCTCCCCGCCTGACTCCCCGCCTGTCCCCCAGTCTGTCCCCCAGTCTGTCCCCCAGCCTGTCTCCCCGCCTGTCCCCCAGCCTGTCCTCCAGCCTGTCCCCCAGCCTGTCTCCCAGCCTGTCCCCCAGCCTGTCTCCCAGCCTGTCTCCCCGCCTATCCCCCAGCCTGTCCCCCAGCCTGTCCCCCAGTCTGTCTCCCGGTCTCTGTTGTGTCCCCCCGCCCCCCAGCCTCACCGCCACCCGTGCCCTCTGTGCCGCCGCGGCTTCCGGGCCCCCAGCCAGCTGCGCTCGCACAGGTGCACGCCCACCCGAGTCCTGTGCACCGGCTGTGGCCAGTACTTCGGCAGCCACCACCTCTACCGCCGGCACCGCAGCCTGGGGCAGTGCTCCCGGGCGTGGGGCAGGTCCGTGCCGGCGTCGCCTGAGCTGAGCCCCGGCCCCCGCGCTCAGGACCCCCGCCTTGCCTGCCACAACCCCTCCTCACACCAAAGAGGGGGTCTCAGGGCCCCGGGGCTCTCACCTTCCTAGACCCCCTCCCCCCGAGACCCCCCCTCTCCTGCACTCATTTTGCAGTTTCTGCAAGATCCTGATCCTGTGAATATCTGATTGCCCCACCCTGGCAACCCCCACTAATACCCCACTAACACCCCACTAACACCCCTCACCCCTCTGCTCGAGGCAGAACAATAAAAAGTATTATTTTTTACTTGATGTGTTTTCCTCGTTCCCCCCTTAAAGACTCCTGAATTTTGTTGGGATCTCTGCTCCTCGCTGGACTTAGTCCAATGGGGATTTGTAATTTGTTTTAAAAGGGTTCCCCGAGTTTTCAGGGAGAGGCAGACAAACAGAGGGGTGGACAGGTAGGGGTAAAAGGACTGGGGTCCCAGGTTCAACTGTGGACTGGAGAGTCTGTCTGTGTGGAGTCTGCGTGTTCCCTGGAAGTCCAACAATCAGGTGACCAATGACAACCCCATCACAGTAACGGTCATGTAATCTGAAACATTTTAATGAAACAATAGATACTACTCCAACTGAATTTCTGGTGAAAAGTTCCATTCTTATAGTGACACAAGTCCATTATTACCCAAGGGAATTGTAATATTTTGGAGAATAAATGTGGAAAATGGCTGAAAGCATTTCCCCTTTATCAAGAGGAAATTAAAGTTTGATTATATAGATGATGAGACTCTTGTCAGAACAAGATCTGAACATGTGACTCTTCCCATCCCACCAAATACCAAAGACATTCAATTTAAAATTCTTAACAGATCAAGGAATCCCCGAGACGAGGTTTTACACCGACCGTAACACCTGTGTTTTGTGTGTCCGATAATTAAACAACCGAACATATTTTTGTGTCATCTTACAACAGCCTTTTGGCGTTCCGTTTGTTCTTGGTTAAAAAGTATTAATACTTGTTCAAATCTGGCTTACAAGGATATTGCTGTGGGACCTCTAAGTAAACATAAAGAATTTCGTATACTGGTAAATGTTACTCTCATGTTGATAAAACAGACGGCGCCAACGACGCCGCGACGTCACTGTCATGCGCCGCGGTCGGGTTACAGGAAGCCGGAAAGAGGGGAATCAATACACAGAAAGAGGGGTGTTATGGAGGATTTTAATATTGAGGCGGAATAAAGCAGCTTAACAGTAAAACATCCAGCGTCGAAGGGCCTTTTATACCAATTAATTACAGATAAAGCCCTGTAGCTCGCGAAGGCTGGTTTTACAGGCCTTCCCGGCATGGAAACTGGAGGAGATGTCGTTGCCGGTCGCGATGGGTAATTGTTTAATTGCGTGCGGTAGCCGTGTTGCTACGACGATGACCGACTGACAAGGAGCCCAGTGCACCCAACACAAGGTGAGAGTTCCCACAAGCCTGTTGTTGCGATCTGTGTAGCAGAAGTGCTTGTTATTCTTGTCCAGGACATGCCCGGCTTCGGCGGACACGTTTCTCTCCTGGCTACGATGTGGGTCGGGGTGTTTTTTTCTCTTCTCCCGTGTCGGAATCGCACCTTCCTTCGTGTCTCCCCCGTGTGGGCCGGCCGAACAGCTGAAGCTCCCGGGGGCTGTTTCACTGAGCAGGTTTAACATGTAAAGAAAGAGCTGACATACCTGGGGATTCAAATCTGAAAAGATCAAATTGAATTCACCCCCCATTTTAGATACAACCAAGAAAAAGGTCTCAAAACCGATGGGTTAGAGATTGATCGCTGGAAGCGCCTGTCTTACTGTGACAATCAGAGCGATTCTCGCTTTCTTCGCTCTCCTCGGACTTTCCTGAACATAACGGACAGTCATGGTTTTGACTAATCACTTCATAAGTGTATATGGGAAAAATAAACCCATGATGGTTTTAGCCCATAAACCAAGGTGGCTTGAACGGTTTAGAGTTTTGCACTTAATATGTGACCTTCGAAACCAGCTGGATTAGAAGGGATATTCAAAACAAACGGAATCGATGGAGCCTCAGTCCCAGTTTGGTCTTTCAAAAAAATCTGATCTTGACTTTCTGTCAAAGGGTAACTATGATATAAGTAAAATACTGATGGAGTTATCCAGCTTTCACAGAGATGTCTTATTATCTTGGAATTTAATATATAAACATAATTTCTCAGCACACACATGTGTACATACGATAATAATTGCATACATATATAGAATTATATGACACCTGAAGAAGGCTCCATGGCCGAAACGTTGTGTTCTCTTTCTTCTTTTTTTCAGCATGGAATAAACCTATTACTTGTTCCTATATAGAATTAGTGTATTAATCCCTCTTTCCCCGTTTCAGTCCTCATGTCAGAGTTCACCATTGATATCCAGCTCACTGAGCTGGGTTTCCCCGAGCTGTTCCAGAGCAACGATGGGTCAAAGGTCGAAGGTCAGCCCCTGGAGCGCTCAGAGGAGCAGGCTGATGAGGCGAAGGCGGATGGACAGGGCCGAGGCGGCAAGGTAGCAGGAGTGACCGTGCTGACGAAAAAGAGACAGAAGACGGAACGGGCTGACGTTAAAAACAGCAAGCAGAAGAAACCGCAGAAACGCATCAGCATTGTCCGAAAGAAGGGACAGGACGTGGAGAAGGAAAGAGAGGCAACAGATGAGTCAACCGATGACAGCCAGGTCTCTGACGAGGAGGAGGAGGAGGAGGAGGAGGAGGATGAAGACGAAGAGGTGGAAGACGAGGAGATGGAGCAGGGTGAGAAAGGAGGAGGTCCAGGTGAGTTGTACAACACTGTGTACTGGAGTGTCCAGTCAGTGTGTCTGTATTAACCCCTCTCTCTCTCAGTGCAGTGTTAATGTACTGGAGTGTCCAGTCAGTGTGTCTGT